CCTCATATTTTACATTAACAACCAGAATTTGAATTCAGATCTATCAGACTCCAAAACCAGAGCTACACCTGCATTCACTGCTGTATTAACAATATCTAATTTTCTGATTTTAAAACCTCAAATGTATTAATCACAAAGTATAAGATGGGGGGGAGGAGATTAGTAAATCTCAAATTATTTAACTATTACAAAACCAAGAGAAACCAGTATTTATATATATTCAGAAAGAAATACTGTTGAGTGGCTTCTGTTGTTCGATGTATATTAAGCTCTTTTAATAGAATGCCACTCTTGAATTAGCATGACACACAGGTCTTAGATAACAGTGGTATCTCAACCTGTTCACATATGGGCACTGGGCTACCTACCAGGCCCTTTCCTCTTAAGGACCTTCATTCTCTACTCTTTCATGACTTATCCTCCCTCTCACAACCCTTCTAAGACTGTCCTTGATAGGAAGATTTCCTCTGTATTCTTTCTAAACACTCCAGAAAGAGAGAATAAAGGGTATGCCAAACTTCTTTGTTTTTACCTTCTAATTCAAGAAAAGCTCTAACCTCTTCCTTCCCATTTCTTTAAGAACAAGCATTCAAGTACTTTCTCATAAAATAAAGTTCGTTATAGAATATATACAGGGTGAAAAAAAATCTAAATTATCAATAATTATTTTATTTTTTTAAATGTGTATTTAAAAAAAAATTTTTTTCTTTATTGATTTTAGAGAAAGAGGAAGGGACAGGGAGAGATGGAAACATTGATGAGAGAGAACATCAACTGGCCGCCTCCTGCATGCCCCCCATTGGGGATTTGGCCCACAATGTAGGCCTGTGCCCTGACCGGGAATCAAACCGATGACCTCTTGGTGCATGGGTTGATGCTCATCCACTGAGCCACACTGGCTGGGTCAATAATTATTTTATTTTATTTTTTTTTTTTATTTTTTTTTTTTTATCCTCACCCGAGGATATTTTTCCATTTTTTGCACAGATAGAATGGGAGGGAGAGAGAGGAAGGGAGAGAGTGAGAAACATCGACGTGAAGGGACACATCGAGTGGCTGCCACCCGCACGACCAACCAGGGCCGGGGACAAACTGCAACCAAAGTACGTGCCCTTAGCGGGAACCGAACCCGGGTCTCTCTGGACCACAGGCCGACGCTCTAACCGCTGAGCCAAACTGGCCAGGGCGTATTTTAAACCGACTCCTAAATTTAATATTATTGAGGTTTGATTTTTAGAATTGAATCCTTAAAAATGAACCACAATAAAGAAAAAAGGGCACTAGGAATGTACATGCAAATGCACCTGCCTCAAAATATATTAATTCATTTAGAAGAAATCCATTCATTCAACCATAAACTGAGTGCCTAATATGAATCAGGCATTGTTCTAGGTACTTGTAAAACAATTTTTTTAAAAATCCCCTTTTCTCAGGGAGCTTACCACTTAGTGGGAGGAGACAGATAATAAGCATAATAAGTAAAGACTGCGTGTTAGAAAGTGATAAAAGTTAAAGGGGAAAAAAACAGAACAGACTAAGGAAGAATTCCAGGATGTTGTGGCAGGTTGCAATTTTTAAAAGGGTGGTCAGAGAGGGCTTAAGAAGGTGTCATTTGAGTCAAGACTTGAAGATAGTGAGGGAGTCAGCCACAGTGATACCTGGGGAAAGAGCATTCCAGGCACAGAAACCAGAGCAAAGGTCCTGGAGTATCCTAGAAACAAGGAAGCCAGAAAGGCTACAGGGAAGGGGGGGGGGGGGGGGGGATGTATAAGAGGTATGCGGGGCAGAGGGAATAGATCATATAAGGTTTATGGGACACTGTAAGGAATTTGGCTTTTACACTGAATGAAATGGGGATCCACAGAAGGCTGAGCAGAGTGCCATGATCTGTTCTATCGGAATCACTCTGGCTGCTAAATCAAGAACAGACTTATTGGGCCCTGGCCAGTGTGGTTCAGTTGGTTGGGTGTCAGACCATGCACCAAAGGGTTGCTGGTTCAATTCCAGTCAGGGCACATGCCTGGGTTTCAGGCTCAATCCCCAGCAGCAGGTGTGCAGGAGGCAGCAGATTGATGTTTCCCTCTCACATCAATGTCTCTCTTTCTCTCCCCCCTTCTCTCTCTAAAAAAAAAAATCTTAAAAGAACAAACTTATTAGGGAGGCAAGAGAGGGCAGTTAGAAGGCTACTAAAGAAACCCAGGAGAGAAATATATACTTCCTATAAACTTTGACTAATGGTGCAGTACTTATTTATTTTTGGTACGTGCCCTTATCGGGAACTGAACCCGGGACTCTCTGGTCCACAGGCCGACGCTCCAACTGCTGAGCCAAACCAGGCAGGGCGCAGTACTTATTTTTAAGCAAAATAAAAAAATCTGTCAGATTCTGCTAATAGAAAATAACCAGAATTCATAAAAAAAAGTCTACTGTATAGAACTTTTGGCATATATTTACATTGTGCAACACAAACACAAAAATCTCTTTTCACTACAGAAAAATACCAGTGTGTTCCTTTATAATCAGTTACTTTCTTTATGAAAAAACATGTTTAATCCTATTATAGCTGAGGCTATCCTTTAAAGTAATTAGGCAATATTCCTATAACTCTGCTAATTATATACTACTTAAGGAGGGGGGGAGTTACTTCTGTCCACTGAAAATAGAAATCATTTTCCTTAGATTGGTATTTCTCAGGTCATCTAAATAAGCCATTTCTAAAATCTTATTTCCTTCATGGGGGGCAATTTTTTTCCTACTAAGGTTTCTCTTTTTTATGCTCCCATTTTAAAAAGATTATTTTCTTTCAATTGATACCAACCAAATTTGCATATCTGGGTCATTCATTTCAGGAAAGGAACACCACAAAAAACTCCCACTGTCATAAATAACATGTTTCAAAGAATGCTCCTCCATGATACCAAAAAAAAACACACCTCTCATTATCATCCAGTCTTCCTGAAAAAGACAAATACAATTCTCAACACTATGTAATGATAAGGATAAGACAAAAAGGGCAATTAAGTCAAAGATACTCAATTTGCCTGGAAAGAGGCTAGGGAACATGAAAGATTTTGAAATAATTCATACCTCTACAAAAGTTTGTTCATGAAACAGAAATAAGCACATATACAGTCTTACAGTATTTTGAGGGAAATGAAAAGTGAAATATAAACAATTTGCTTGCTTTAAAGATTCAAAAAGACATCCAGATTTAGCTTGGGTTTTTAAAGATACTTTCCGGTGACAATTCTTTGGAAGAAATGGGTGTGTAAGCTTACAAAACATAGTTCTGCATTCAAATTCATTAATTCATTCAACATTTAAGTGCTTTTCTGTGCCTGAAATTGAACAAAGCATTGAGTACATATATTCTGTTCTCAAGGCTTATAGTCTTCATTTACCCCACAATTACCGAGTATCTACTATGAGCCAGATGCTGGGGATACAACAGAAAACAGGAGACAGTGTCCCTACCTGTATGCAGTTTACAATGTGGGAAGAGGAAAATGCCTCAAGGATGAGACATACATCTAACTAAACAAGGACATTAACACTCAAGTGTTCTATGTGCTGTTTATGGGAGGGTTGAGGGTTCAGGGGAACACAAACAGGGAGTGATAGATTCAGGGCAGGAGGGAAGGGAATGTAGGGACTCCAGATATGAGGTGACAGGACAGCTGAGTCCTCAAAGAGGATTAGATGTTCACCTGGTCGACCTTGGGGGAAGGGCTCCAAGAAGAGGGAGCAACTAGAGGAAAGGCAGAGAGGTATGAACAGGCTGGTGTATGTGATAAGCCTGGAATACAGAATGTGAGATAAGTCATGGAGGTTTCTGTATGCTACAATTAAGACTGGACTTTATTGGTATTTATGAAAAGCCCCTGAAGGGTTTTATTCAGAAAACCAGCTTGTGTAATCAGGTTTTTCTGGTGTCATGAGACACTCGTTTACAAAGGAATGAGAAAAGAATAACACTAAATAATGATGTCACCATGAAATAACAAAGGAGACTGCCCAATTAGAAAACTAAACCCCCTCAGGAAAAAAATTAAGCTAATGTGCAAGTACTTCTGGATAAAAAGTTTTTAGCCAACATCACTTGAATCTGAAGTAGAGAAAAGGTTTGCATATATTATGAATTATAACATCTACATACCTACCCTGAGTTTTCTCAAGAGAGCTTAGCTTTTTATTAATTGTGTAAATACATCTGGGGATGCTGATTGCTGTACAAAAAGCAATGAAACTATTTAGGAGAAAGTCTTTGATACAAAGGGAGAACCACGAGTAACAGAAGGTATTTCTCAAGTCAGGTTTAAAGGTTTCCAAAGTTCAAGATCATCAAGTTTTATTAAGTCACAGCATTTAAAAGATGTGTCATGGGGTGGAGTAAAGAAGGGTTTAAAAATGAATATATACATATGCAAACAAGTAATTCTTACACACACACACACACACAAACAAGTAACTCTTGATACGGTGGAACTAAAATCACCACTTGAAGATCTTTTCCCAAGTAGGAGAAATGAACACCTACCAGAACCAGTTAACACAAACAAGGAAGGAGAGCAGGGAGGGAGAGGACAGGATGATCACAAATAAAAACGTAAATGGGGTGGGGGGCAACCACCCATCCCAGAACCCAGTTAGCGGTGCGATGAGGAATCTTCTCGATTCAGGCATAAAGGCAGGAGACTGTCACTCCCAACTCCACAAGCAAAACACCAGCAGCTGGCCACGGGGATATGATCACGTACTCGGATCCCACAACTCAAGGACGGAGTACCATCCCCACGCCGTGCTTGAGAAGAGGTGAAGATCCCGCATTTCTGGGAGTGGGGAGCAATCACCCTCAGATCCAGCCCTAAGCAGGTCAACGCCCCCCAGGCCAGGCCTTGCCGAGGCCAGGGAGTAGTGACAGCCTCGAAGCCCCCTTAATTTCGGCCGAAGCTGCTTCTACTCCTCGCACCCCTTCTTCCCCAATACACACCCTCCCCTACCTGATATGGCGGCGGAGGCTCCTGATCCGGCTCCGTCCCCTCGCCAAAACTAGCCCGGTCGGACTGAGACTCGTGGAGCAGGGAGATGTCATCCGAAGTGGGGGATTTGAGGCAGTTCCCCATCTTCCGGGGCTAGGGTGTGTGATCTGGGAGTGGGGGAGGGGTGGGAAGAAAGCAGTGGCGGGGTCCTCCGTGAGCTCCCCGGTCAGCCTCGGTCTGAGAGGTGGGGTCGGGCGGCAGGCCGGGGCTCAGGCGGTGGCGGCTCCCCCGCCCCCCGGCGCCGCCGAAGGGCCGCTCATGCCAGCCCCCGGGGGCGGGGGCTCAAGGCTGGGCCGCGGGCTCCGGCGGGGTCGCGACAGTAGCCCCCAGCGAGGCGGTGTTGGGGGGGGCGGGCGGGGAGACGAAACACTTCCCCACCCCGCCCCCCCGCGGGGCGGCGGCGGCCACGGAGCTGCTGGGCCTAATCCAGGTCAGGAGGGGGGGGGCGCGACCGTCGCGACTGCCTCAGCTGCTGCCTCAGCTGCTGCTGCTCCTGCAGACGCCGGAGCCGCGGCCGCGGGCCTCATCCTACTCCGCCTCAAAGCGGCGGCGGCGGCCAAAACGAGGCCAGCTGCGGCCCTGCGTCATGCCGCCGTGCGTGCTCTGGTCCCGCCCCCGGCGCCGGGAGGCGTGGGCAGCTCCGGCTGCACCTCCCTTCCCCCCTCCCCGGCCCAACTTCCCTCCGCTGGTCCTGGGCTGCGTCTGTTTCTGCTTACTCTTTGCCGGTTTGGTAACTGGCTCTGAAACGTTTGAAGTCTTCCGTGCCTCTTCACAGCCACTTCTCCCCGCTTGTCTCAGCTCTTACTTGTGCACTGTTCTGACGGTCTTCTCACCACCTTCTGCCAAGTGATCTATTTATAAACCCATATCTGAATCTATCACTTCCATGATTAAAATGTTAAATGGCTTCCCCTTCATCCCTTGAAGTCGTTAATGAACCTTCCCTACATATCCAGTCACTTCCTCATCCTCCTGCATTACAGCCAGAGAGATCTTGCCTCCAGCTGTATGTATCAGAGTGTTCTTTCTTTGCTTTCCCACCACCATTTCTCGCCCACACTATTGCAGTATTCTCACAGCTGTTCTTGCATTCAGTGTTGCCTCATCCAATCCATTATTTGCACAATTGAACTATCTTTTTTTTTTTTACCCTCACCAGAGGACACTTTTTTCTTTCTTTTTTGTTCTGATAGAGTGGGAGGGAGAGACAGAGAGAGAGAGACATCGATGTGAAAGGGACACATAGAGTGGTTGCCACCCGCACAACCCAACCAGGGCCAGGGACAAACTGCAACGTGCCCCTAGTGGGAACCGAACCAGAGTCTCTCTGGACCGCAGGCCTATGCTCTAACCACTGAGCCAAACTGGCCAGGGCTGAATTATCTTTTTAAAATGTAAATCTGATCATGTCATTCTGTTTAAAACCTTCAATAGTTTCCCAATATTGTTATGACTAAGTATTAATTCTTAAATGTTTTACAAATCTTCCTGTCTCCCTAATCTCAGCAGCATTGTCTTCTCACATATTCTAATCTCTAGGCTGTCTAAATACTTTTGGTTATCTAGAAAACTGTTCCCCCTGGTTGCAGCCTTTACCTACATTGTTTCTTTAATAGAAACTCACTCCAGACCTTCTACTTCCCTCAGGCTAACCATTTTTTCCCCTCAGCCTTCCTGGACTCCACTTCATTTCTCCTGGAAAGCCTCTACTGACCCTCCAGTCCTGTTTAGTTGCATTCTCTGTGCTTTCAGTCCCTGGGTTTTTCTCTGTCGTAGTCTAATCAAGCTGAGTCATCTGTCCTTCCCCTGGCACATTACCTAAGGTAGAGTGGACTCTCTTCTTGGTTGGATAAACAAAACTCAAAAAATAATGTATGCAAAGGAAGGCATCAAGAAAGATGAGAATGCTCCAAATATTCATTCAACAAAAAGAAGTGAGTCTTGACTCCCTTTCTTTTATATACCATTTACTGATTTTATTTAGTTATTAATTTAATTTTTAATTATTTTTTAATCCTCACTCGAGGACATTTTTTGCATCTGTCTTCAGATACAGCGGGAGGGAGAGAGAGAGAGAGAAACATTAACATGAGAGAGACACATGACTGGTTGCCACCCACACAATCCCAACTGGGTAGGGACAAACTGCAACTGAGGTATGTGCCCTTAGTGGGAACTGAACCCTCTGATCCACAGGCTGATGCTCTAACTGCTGAGCCAAAATGGCCAGGGCTATTTATTTTAAATTATTTGTTTATTTGGGTTCTGGACCCTATGCTAAACCCTAGGAAAACTGATTTACCATCCCAGGCTTGTTGCTGATGGAGCTCAGAGTCCAGCTGGGAAGACAAACAGATAAGTCCTCTGTCTCACCTACCAAAGGTTTTTAGAAGATCCAGAGGAGAGTGATTAGACCATTTGGGTGAGGATCTGAAAGGATTCTTGGAGTTCCTAATCTGCAAAATCACTATCTTATTTATTTACTTATTTTAATATTTATTTTTCTTTCTTGATTTTAGAGAGAAGGGAAGAGAGACGGAGAGAGAGATAAACATCGATGAGAGAGAACATCAATTGGCTACCACCTGCATGCCCCCAACTGGGGATTGGGCCCAGAATCTAGGCATTTGTCCTGACCGGTAATCAAACCGTTAACCTCTTGGTGTGTGGGTCGATGCTCAACCACTGAGCCACACCAGCCAGGCCACTATCTTATTAAAATGCACTCATATTCCATATTAAATATAACCCTTTTGCTGTATGCCCTTTTCTCCAAGACTTGCTTTCCTTCCCATTAATAGCTCCCACCTAAAATAGGTGTATAACTTATGCCATGTTTGCATCAAAATCTTTCACACATTGCCCAAAATGATTGCTTAATTCTCTCTAATTTAGAAAAGTGAAATCATTGGATTCTTTGGGGAGAAAATTTCAGGCACATGCTTCTTTTTCCCCATTGTTATTTTCCTTGTATCCTCTAAACTATTGCAACAACTTCTTAATGAAGCCCTTGCCTCTAAATCATCAATCTTTTCTCCACACCACTGCCATAAGAAATGTGATCAGAGAGCATTCATAGATTTGTGGTTCAGGAATTTTGCATGGCGTTAAGGCCTTGCACCATTTGGTCCCATTCTTATTTCTAGTTCCAATTAGGCATCCTTACACTCTAGCCACATCACATTACTTGCCATGCCCTCAATTTTCACTATGCTTTTCCACATCTGACTATTTGACATGCTATCCCTTCTGTTGAAATTCAGCCATCTATTTTTGTTGTTGTTGTTGTTAATCCTCATCTGAGGATCTTTTTTCATTGATTTTTAGAGAAAGCAACGGAAACATCAATGTGAGAGAAACACAATGACTGGTTGCCTCCCGCGTGACCCCAACCAGGGCTGGGTATCAAATCTGCAACCGAGGTATGTGCCCTTGACCGGAATCGAACCCACAACCCTTTGATCCACAGGCGAATGCTGTAATTGCTGAGCCAAACTGGCCAGGGCAAAATTCAACCATCTTCTTTTTATTTTTTTTAAATTCGGCCATCTTTTAAGACCACTTTCCTTACGTACCTATCCTTGATTTCACTTTATTGGAATATATGTGACAATATAAAATGGGATCTATTACTGTATTATATTGTGTATATCTACATATCATATATGAATATTTCAATTTTTAATATATATAATCATAACTGCCATTTATTAGCATGAGCCAGACACATGAGAGTCCTGAAAAGTATGTATTGGCATTGTTTTGTAGGAACAGAAACATGGCTTCACATTGAGATAGGTCAATAAGCCAGGAAAGTGGAATAGGAAACTGAGACAGTTAAACAGCCAAGCAGTTTACAGCCATCTAGTAAATCGAAAAATCCTATCTTCCCTAACCAAGGACACTTAATAGTAAATGGTTTACACTTCTCTTCTCCAACCAGAGGGTAAATAGCTTAAATCACATACTCAGGGAGACAGACAACATAAATCCAATTAGTGCCACTTGTGCAAACCACACCCAAAGACAGATGAAGTTAAGGAAATAAATCTCATTAAAATTTTTTTTCTTTATTGATTTTTAGAGAGAGGAGGGGAGAGGGAGAGAGAAATAGAAATGTTGATGAGAGAGAACATCAATTGGCCACTGCCTGCATGCCCCCCACTGAGGATTGGGCCTACAACCTGAGCACGTGCCCTGACTGGGAATCAAACTGGTGACCTCTTGGTGCCGGGTGGATGCTCAACCACTGGGCCACACTGGCCGGGCTCATTTTGGCACATCAGCATAAAGCTGATGAATATTCTATTGAGATCCTCCCCTAAGTCCTCCCCTAAACTCCCATACATCAAAACCCTCAAAACGAAGGAACCAGCCTATGCCTTTCTTCCCTCTCAGGCATGCCTCTTTTCTCTCCTAAACTCTAAGGATCCCCACAAGACTTGCAACCAGTGGGGCAGTGAGCAGTTGCAGCTGGTACCAGGCTAATCCCCTCAACCTGTCTCCAAGGCCCCCTTTTCTGTGACTCCAGTAAGCCAACAGCAGTCCACCTTCGCACATTTTTTTCCTATAATGTCTCTAGAGAGCCAAAGCAACCCTGCCTAGGCTCACTTTTTAAATTTTCTGTTCTTTTTATTTTTTATTTATTTGAGAGAGAGAGTTTTTAGAGAGAGAGAAATCCATCAGCTGCCTCCTGCGAGCACTCAACAGGGGATCAAACCTGCAATTTAGGCATGTGTCCTGGCAGGGAATCAAACCCGAGACCTTCCAGTGCACAGGACAAAGCTCCGTCCAACTGAGCCACACTGGCCAGGGCCTGTTGGTTTCTTCTATCCTAAGCCCTTTTGTCACTGTCCCAGCTTGCATAAACCTTTGTAAGGAGGTAGCTATTCAATGATCTCTCTTTCTAACCCAGATTTAGAAAGTAGCCCTTGGGAAATGCCCTACAGACCAGAGTGTGACCTAATCACAAAATGTCATTTAAAATCAGAAATAGTAACCAGAACTATTGCAGTGACAAAGACTCTCCTTGACCTAACTCTGCCAGGGTCCTCTAAGCCTTAAAGGCCCTGAACTTGGGTTCTGTGCTTGGCCCACTTATTCCAGTTTTAGCAAGAATCTAGGTGAGTCAGTTTAGCTAGAATCTCCCAAAGTGGTTATCTGACCTTCTTGACCTGCCTTGAGTAAAAATTCTATCAAGTAGGTTTAGCTAGAATTCTCCTTATCCCTAATGTTTCCTTTTAGTAATTTTGCATCTACTGACCCCGAACCTTGTTCTTTATCCATAAATCCCCACTTGTCCTTTTTGTATTCAGAATGAAGTGCAGTTCTAGTCTGAGGTCACTCTTTCCTTAATGCAATAGTTCTTGAATAAAATTTGCCTTCACCACTTTAACTTCTGTCTAGCTCTGGTTTTCTCTGATAGCAGAAGATCTAATGCAAAGCAGATATGAGAACCAGATTTTAAAAAATAGATTTTATTTTTTAGTGCAGTTTTAGATTCACATCAATATTAAGCAGAAGGTACAGAGATTTATCATATACAGCCTGTCCCCACACAGGCATAGCCTCCCCATTATCA